TAGAATTCTCCCCTTTCTTGTCAATTATATCTACCATAGCTGAAAATTCATCGGTGAAAAAAATTGTTTGTTATTTTTTTTCTTTGAGGGTGGTAATTTGTATATAATCCTAAAAGACTTACTATCAGCACTTAAATTACTGTTCCAAGCACCAAAAGAGTTGTTTTGCCATGTGTGACTACAACTGGGTTATTTTGCTCTGATTTCTTCAAATATGATATTTGAAACTTGTGTATTGTGTAACTAAGAACTACGTGATTACTGTGTGAAAACGCGGGGAGATTTTTAGGAGAAATTTTGGATTATCATGTTTTTGGATAGAACATTGCAGTTCAATATGGACATGTTTGTGCTATTTTTAGTATCGGCTTTGTCCTTGTCAATACTACTAGTCTGAACCTTGTGAACTGTCAAGACTAAATACTATTTGAACGAACAATAGAGTTAACAATGTTGTGACTTTTACCATATTCCTGAAGCAATGTACTGATAGCACGATCTTGGGGTTTTGACGAAGTGTGTCTATTGTAAACTGACGGCTTAACGGGAATGACCACCTAATAAAACCGCAATGTTTGTTAGTACTGATATCAAGTAAAATTGTACGTGTTGATGCATCAGGAGCAAACATCAATACTCGCTAATGGTTAGCGTATGCGCACTGTATCATAAGGCCTGTCATTGGGTCAACTGGCGTGGTTTCGAATTCCACCTAATAAAACCGCAATGTTTGTTAGTACTGATATCAAGTAAAATTGTACGTGTTGATGCATCAGGAGCAAACATCAATACTCGCTAATGGTTAGCACATGCGCACTGTATCATAAGGCCTGTCATTGGGTCAACTGGCGTGGTTTCGAATTCCCGGTTGTACGTGAAATGACCTAGTTTGTGTCGAGTGGACGTTAAACCCCATCATTGGCTGCACTTTCATGAATAAGCAATCTCGGGCAATGAAATTAAGCACGTGGTACATAACTGAAAACGGCGACATTATTAAGTCTATATATTGCATTAAAATATGACTTGTTGATTTAGAGTCAAATCGACTATTGGCATGATGTAAACATATCGACATAGTTTTTGTCGTTTAGAGGTGAATTTAATGTGTCGAGTCGACTTATTAAGTCGATTTTTTGTAATATAACTCATGAAGTTGACATATTTTAGTTCGATGTGTTGCGATATTATCTCAATAAGTAGTGACCCAAATACGCTTCCATAGCAAAATTGTCTTTTCAGAGATAAAATCTTCATAACAATTACAATATGTTAACATATTACCAACTTAATATTGCGGTATTTATCGCGCTATTGACCCCTATACGCTTCCATGCCTAACAACCACCATAATGAAGATCTACTCAGAAAGAAATGTCAACACTGGTTTGTTTGTCAGTAAACATCAAAACCTTCAAAATTATTCCACAATTTCTACCCGAAAAGCCGACGGATGGGAATTATGTAACAAACCAAATCGCGCTATACGTGGATATAGAGGGGATCTGTCCCTGCTTTCCTATTGGCAATTTCTTTTCCTTTTTTGGTTTGGGGGGGGGGGGGGTGTCTCTCAGATTAATAACCGAAATTCTGTATAAAATTGCAATATTGCTATTGTTTAGTTAGCTTTCCGCTTTATGGGTTCTCTTCCGGCGTGGTTTCCTCTTGTCGGTGATGCAGGATGGAGGGCCTGACAAGGACAGCTGTCTAGTCGTTCGGATGGGACGGAAAGCCGAGGTCACGTGTACACATTGGCGTGCACATAAAAGATCCCTTGGCAGTTGGAATTCGATATAAGAGTAGGCCGTAGCGCCGCTGCCCGGGCAAAATTTCCCTCATAACACACTGTATGGCGTATGCCCGTCTTATTAGCCCAGAGGAGCAGAACAGTAGGACGTTAAACTCCATTTCATTTCATTTATGGGTTGTCATAATACTACACGTTCCCACGATTATAAATCAGACTCGAGGCCTACCCTTACTAGTTGAAAATTTTTAAATATAACTATTATTTTTAAGAATGTTTTGGATATCGTTTCGCCCAGCTGGTCGTCATTGTTTAGAAACAATAAATGTGCAATTTGTGTACAACTGAGTGTCATTTATATAAACTGTCATAAGGTGCACTGAGTATATTAATAATTAAAATAACCATTAATATATAAAAACGTAATAAAAGTTTGCATTTTACCCAGTTTCAAATAGCTAAAAGAAATTTATTTTGTTCGTTCTGCACGACTGTCTTTCATTTCTTGCTTCTCTTTCTCTGAAATATTGCACCAAATTGCCCGGGTTTTTTATTTGTCTAAAAATCACTACCTTTTTAAAAAAAAAAAGTCCCCAAATATGTTGTCCTCGATTCGCTTCATGGATAATTATGGATAATTGAAATTTTAATAAAGCCGCGTAATACCGACACTGGTAAGGTATATGAAAGCATGTCATATATTATATAAAAACGTGAAAAGTATATTTGCATTTACCAAGCTTCAAGAACTCCTAACATATCTTTATCGAAAATGTTGTATGCACATATGAAACTGAAGCAAAGAATGTAACAAACTCTTTTAAGAGCGTTGAATATGATAAAATGCCCATTTTAAAGCTAGCGCTGTAAGATATGATATGACATATTTTGTTATTTTGGGTGATAAAACACGTATCAATCACCAAGAAAATAACATTTTTTTACCAACTGTTCAGAAAATGGAAGAAAACTTAATTTAGAGTGATCCTGTATTTGTAGGTGTTTTTTTTTCAATTCGGTCTAGATTTGCCAAGACAAATAATTCCTGGTAATCTCACCAATTGATAAGCATCTTGTGGCGAGGTGATTAAGGTTGTTGATTAGGTAATCAAGTTTAGTTTGTTGATCATCATGGACGCCGCCGCACGATCATAATATTAATCAGATTGGTGTACAATTGGCTAAAGTATTTATAATATATACGGGGATCACGTGGCTAAGTGAGTTAGACGCTGGCTCGCTAGCCTAGAGGTCGGGTGTTCGATTCCTGCATTGGCCGAGAAAGTTCATCCAGATTTTCCGGCGTGATTCCCCCTTGTCAGTGATACAGGACGGAGGGCCTGACAAGGCGGCTGTCTAGTTGTTCGGATGGGACGAAAAACCGAGGTCCCGTGTACACATTGGCGTGCACTAAAAGATCCTTTGACAGTTGGAATTCGATATAAGTGTAGGCCGTAGTGCCGCTGTCCGGGCAAAATTGCCCTCATAGCACACTGTACTATGGCATATGCCCAGTTCGGAGCAGAACAGTAGGACGTTAAACCCCATTTCATTTCATTTCATTTATAATATATACTGGCTTTAAGTACAAACGATTTTGATATGACCATTTTATCTGCTCTTAAACCATAGTGTTTTAGATAATAAATCAGACGAATAAAACGCAAATAACGAGAAGACAAACCAAATGTGGAGTGAAATTAATAAAAGCAATATAAATTTTGGGACAGTATGCTAATTTTAGAAAGACTTTTAATTTGTAACAGTCCTCTATATTTGCTCGGGGCAATTACGACGACCATTTCCTAACTCTGTATCATTAACTGACAAGCATAACTGGCTATATAATCCAGATATCCCTTGCAATGTAATGTGAAATGCGATATGAAATCCTTGGCTATTATATTTCTCTACCTATAGAGAGAATAAAAACTGAAATACTACAGAAGAAACTAGTCCAGTTGGTTTTGCGATTTGAACCCATATAAGAATTTGCTACTTTGGAAACAAACTTTGATGAGTGAAACTTGTTCAACAATATGCCACTGAATTTATGGAAAATACGAAGGCTTATACGTGTATATAAGCAGTATGATAATTCAGGATTTGTGACGAAATGTTAATATAAATAAAGCCTACATTTAACAGTTACTTAATACCCACTAAAAGAGGACCATTGTGTAATCGAATTGTTTACTGTCTTCGCTACATAACCAATAAATAGCTCGAACAGGTCAGAACATAGAAAGCCACCAAATGCGATGGCCAATAATTAAAAAAAAAACTACCCACATACTACACCCCCGCCATGTTACATTGTTGTACTTTGTTTGTTTCGCTTGATGTCAATATTTCGATGGGCAGAATTTAAACTATAGTTTAATGTACACAAGTAACGACAAATACATTCTGAAAATGGGCACTCTCTCAATTAAGTTACGTAACAAACATGGCTTTTAAAATTAGATTTTTACATCTTGGGGTCCTTCCTCCCGAATACAATGTTTTGAGAGGGATATGAAACAAATTTTTGATAGATTAATTTGATATTAGATTGAATTTTCAAGATACTAACTTGAATTTTTAAAACACTAACATGAACTTTCAAGATATTAACTTGCATTTTCAAGATATTTACTTGAAACGAAAGGCTCAGGTCTGTAGTGCGCAAAGAGCATGTATGTTGTTGTTGTTTGTTAGTTGTATTTTACGTCCGCTTCCACCGTGGTGTATGGGGACCTATTCTTATTTAAGATGTGTGTGTGTGAGTGAGAGAGAGAGAGGGGGTTAGCGTCCACTCGACACAAGGTCTGTCATTGAGTCAACTGGAGGTGGTTTCGATTCCCCGGCTGTACGTGACAAGGAGTAGGGTCGCCTGTCCAACCTCGTGGGTTTTCTCCGATTTCCTCCCACTGCTAAAGACCCCTATCCGCAAGCGAATTATTGAAATAAAATTGAACCATGTGTTACTCCCGAAATGACCTGGTTTATGTCGAGTGGACGTTAAACCCCATTTCTCTCTATCTCTCTTAGTTAGTTTTAAATAATTTTTGAAGATGACTGTTTATTAAATTTTGTAATTAAAATTATGATCATTAATAGACTAATTCTGGTAGAAAAAAATATTCAAACATGGTTTCAATCGCTGTTACCCCGCCGTCAGTCAAACAGCTGAATTTGTGAATTTTGCCTTTGACATTGTTGTTCCACTCTGTTGACTATCATCAGACAACAACGCTAACCTGCGCTTTATAAAACTGACATATGTAATATGATAGCATACAGGGTTTAACATGGCAGATATTAAAGCAAAATCCGTGCTTTAGTCTGGTAAGATATCTGATATTTTTTTATCTATTTAAAATGACTAGAAATCGTTGATTTTGTTGGATGACATTCTGTTGTTATATAGGTTGGCGTATTTAGTAGGATTGTGTGATGTTTTCGTTATCATTGAACCCATGCAAACAAAGCGGGTTCACATAACGTCCAAGATCAGTTTAATACATTTGGACCTAAATCAAGGTGTGTTGACTTTTTTAAACTACTCCAATGATGATAACCCCTTATTTCAACTTTGGCAAACGTAAAAATACAATAATATTACAAAGTCGTCTTCGTATCTCTTGCAGTGACCTCAATAGGCATAAATTTTTAAGGCATATTTCGGACAGCCCCGAGTGTGATTGCGGTCATTTCTTCGAAGATACCGATCATTTTCTTTTACATTAAGTGCTCCTTACATTCTGATGCACGCAAAATATCTATAAATCTTTTACCACCCAATTTTATCAATATACGTAATCTGTTACACGGTGTAAGCAACAAATATATTTTGTTAGCAGTCTTTGAAAATGTCCACTTGTTTTTGACAGCCGCAGGTTTGAAATCAGTGTAACATCTATATCGATGATAATCAAATGCGAACATGAACAAATGCGTAGCCAATGTGTAAATATGTATATACAAAAGGTTGTTGATTAAAGATACATTATGGGAGATTAGGTAAAAAGCTGACAGTTCTCACTATAATAATTCAAAACTAGATAATGTAAAGGGAGTTTGCGATTGAGAATTTTGCGATTGAATTTTCTGCCTAGCCTCGATCATCATTACTAAAGTCGGTACGATTGTCTCGATTATCCATTTCATGATTAAATCATGAATGAAAGTTGAGCAGCAAATCGGATCCTAATCCAGTAAATATCGCAGGCTAGCGATGACTTCGAGAGTTCATTAAGGTCCGGGCAAGTTATCGTCAACAATTTCTTGGGAACGCTCTAACGCCAAAAGTTATCATCCAATTGTTTTAAAATTGATATATGTGAGATGAAGAAGCCTATTTAATTTCAATAATTTCAGTTTATAACGTCTAGAGTTATGACCCTTGTTTCACTTTGTTGAACCCTGTGAACGCTCTAATGCCAAATGTTAACATCGGATCTTTGTGAAATTTATAAGCAATATTTAAATTAGGGAAACGAAGAAGCCTATTTAATTTCAGCAATTTCCGTTTATTACTTCTAGAGTTATGGCCCTTGTTTCACTTTGTTTAACCTTGTGAACGCTCTAACCCCAAAAGCTATTATTCTATCTTTCTGAAAATTATATGCATTATTTAAATTAGTGAAACGAAGAAGCCTATTGAATTTCAGTAATTTCCGTTAACTACATCTAGAGTTATGGTCCTTGTTTCACTTTGTTGAATCTTGTGAACCCTCTAATGACAACAGTTATCATCCGATCCGTTTGAAATTGATATGCATCATTTAAATTAGTGACACGAAGACGCCTGTTGAATTTCTGCAATTTCCGTTTATTACGCCGTAGGTTATGGCCCTTGTTTCACTTTGTTTAACTTTGTGAACTCTCTAACCCCAAAAGTTATCCTATCTTTCTGAAATTTATATGCATTATTTACATTAGTGAAACGAAGAAGCCTATTGAATTTCAGCAATTTCTGTGTATTACGTCTAGAGTTATGGCCCTTGTTTCAATTTATTGAACCTTGTGAACGCTCTAACGCCAAAAGTTATCATCCGATCTTTCTGAAATTTATATGCAATATTTATATTAGTGAAACGAAGAAGATTATTGAATTTCAGCAACTTCTGTGTATTACGTCTAGAGTTATGGCCCTTGTTTCACTTTATTGAACTTTGTGAATGCTCTAACATCAAAGGTTATCTGCCGATTTGTATGAAATTTACATGCGTCATTTAAATTAGTAAAGAGAAGAATCCTATTGAATTTCAGCAATTTCCGTTTATTACTTCTAGAATTATTGCCCTTGTTGCATTTTGTTCAACCTTGTTTATGCTAGATTGATGAAAGTTATCATCCGATATGTATGAAATTTATATGCATCATTTAAATTTGTGAAACGAAAAAGCCTGTCAAATTTCAACAATTTCTGTAGATTACTTCCAGAGTTGAGACTCTTGTTTCAATTTGTAGAATCTTGTGAACCCTCAAACGCCAAAAATTATAATCTGATTTGTATGGAACTGTCTTGTAAATTACCTACAAAGGTATAAATATGCGACAACCCTTGTCGACCGCCCGGACGATTTAGCCGCTGTGGGCGTATGTTTCGTTGCCTGGCAACCTATCTTTAAATTATGATAATATGAAAGTTTCAGAACATTATTTGTATATTAGAAAAGAGCAATGAACGTGGTTTTCAGTGATATATGTAACGTGATATCTGGAATTTCGTAATATGACCTGTATATCCATTTTAAATACCCCATACCCTCGTCATTTAATAGGGTTTTCTATCACCCGACGTTTTTCAATGTATGCACACATGAATGTGCCAGAAAATTATGTACATATTTAAAAAAGGCAATGAATGTGCTTTTCAGTTATAGGTTACATGATATTTGGAATTTCGTATTGAGACCGTATTTTAACAAACACCCCCACCCCCACTCACACAGTCATTTAACAGAGGTTAGTACCATACATATCATACGAATATGCCAGAAAATTATTTACATATTTACAACGAGAAATAACATGCAACATGATATCGTATCAAGATCCGTATTTTGAGGTTGAAGTACCCCCCCCCCCCCTTTGTAATCATAGTAATAGAGAATAGTACCATCCAAATTTGATCGTTTGTCAAGGTTAAATAAATGTCTTATAGTGTGCGGCTGAACGAAAATTTAAAATGTGACACGTCAAAAACAGCATTTACCAATAAAACATTTGTCATTTGACGTTTTACATTTAACTTGAACTTAAAGCGAGAATTTCAAATTTTCTGAGAAAGTCAAAACGTAATTATTTCTATGTCTTTTGCTCAATAGGTTGTCAACTCACAATTATACGATCATAGGTGTCATTCTCACACTTAAAACTCATTTACACAGGAAATAATAACACAATAACCCCCCTTGTTTTCTATTCTCCACCATGGAGTAGCTTTTTTCAAACGTTTGAAAATCAAGAGGAAAATGATATTTTTGCCAATTTCTCAGCTGGCAATAGTGAATTATAGGATTAATAGGATTATTCTTTAACAAGGTAGGACTGTTTATGGATACCATCTATTTTCAGGCTTTATTTTAATAAATTTTAAATATATAACTTAAAAATTTGCAATTTCCGCTTTAAAGGTATTAGGACTTTGTACATTTTACCTTTCACACATAATCGATGAGAAAAAAACCATTTTAGCAAAGTATTTAATATTGGAACTGATACCCTTCCATAGGTTTCCTCTTGGAAGTGGTGTAGGATAGGTGGCGTGCACACACAAGAACCCTTGACATTTCCCCACTCAACACCCGGTATAGCGTATTACCCCTGTTGATGAACAGCAAAATTACCTGTTATGATAAATCGAAGGCAAGTGAGTGTGTCGGTATAAACATTTTTGAAATAAAAATTTTTATGACGTGAGCCTTGTCCTATTTACTAACCGCACGGGAGGTTTGCAGACGTGAAAACTAATGCAAGAATTCACTACGATGTCATTATATTTTATTTCAATGTCTTTCTTTTGTAATCACCTCCTTTATCATGTCAATATGAAATCTATACCGCTGGAGTTAATATTCAAGCAGTGAAAGAAATATTCGGGCATGGTTAACCATGTTTACTGAGCTGTAAAAAGGTATTAGCTTACAGCTTTGAACAATCATTGAATATAGCCGACGTTTTCAGTCAGTAGGGGGTTGAGATATCAAGTCATTCAGAGAATGGACATGCATGTATACCTAATGCGCAATAATCGTTGTAGCCTGATCATAAAGGACAGTTTACACGGGGATCGACTGTCAGTAAATCTTTTCAAATATAATTAAAATTAACTTCTGTCGTCTCACTTCCCTTACATTACGCATCTGAGACGCTCTTTGAAATGTTTAGGGATTTTCTCACGACCTTAGTGATGTCGTCTTCATTTTCCGTATACTGTTTTAATAATGTATTGATGTATTCATAGATAATACCGTATGATTGCCGACTCATGAATTCTCGACGTTATGTTGCGAAACGCGTGAAACGGCGAGAAAGGTGGTTGATCACTTCCGGTCTTCTGTTCTCGCTGTTTGTTTACTATAGGCCCAGTAGCGATATTTTTATTTAGTGCTTTCTTGTAGTTTAAATGTGGCATCATCTGGTTAAATGGAAACGAGAAATAGAAGGAATGTTCGAGGTAAGAATAAAAATGAATATCTTATAATTTTGATATTATATTGTATTATAAATAAGTATTACATTTCATGAAAATCTCGACACGTGTGTTGCCCAGTTAAGGCAAAGTTTGACAGCTTTGACCTACTTTTAAAAATCGGCAAAATAGAGTTTTCAATTCATTAATTTGTAAAATAATACTTGCAGATCATTAATAAATCGTAAATACATAAAATACAGTTTGGTATGAATAATAACATTGCTGTGCTGGCTATATAATATAAGCTTTTAATTACTCAATTTTTTAAAAATCTTTTGTATTTTCAGCAGAACTGTACTGCCTGGTAGCCTACCTGTCTTTTGTTTGCTACCTAGGGGCCTAGGGGAGTGCCAGCTTGTGAAGCAAATATATTTCATGTTGATTTATTGTGACACTGATAAATATTTGTATGTTTTATTTATGTTATTTACTTCTTTTCATATTGTGTGTGTGGGTGTGTGTGTGTGTGTGGGGGGGGGGGGTATAAATATTGAGACACTAGACACTAATATATTGATAAAGTATTTTATTTTATGTTTCTATTTATTTATATTTTTATTTTTTTTTATTTCATTTTTTTTTTTTTGGGGGGGGGGGGGGATATTATTATTTTCATTATTTTATTTGTTTTATTTTAATACTC